AAAATTTGAGAAATTTAATTAATAAATATTATATTTGTAAGCATATCAATAATGACATACACATTCGAATATAAAGAATAGAACTTTTTGATAAGTAGTTCCCGCCATTTCGTAATTCAAATATGGTCTAAATGTTAGCATTTTCTATTGTTTGGCGTGTACCGACGACAACTCTGGACAAAATAGTGATTATATTTTTCATTACGAATTAATTTGTAAACGATGAAAACCGTTCAATTTATGGTTTCCATTTCAGATTCAATAATTTCGACCAGAATGAAAATGTATTAGGTCAATTGCTTTGAAAGTTAGTCATGCCAGGTTTAGAAGAAAGTATTTTACACGATAGCAGTTCACCCACAGAGAGCCTAATGTCCGATGGAATTGTCTCTGAGCAAGTGAAAAAATTTTTATTCACCTCTCGTAAAACTCACGATAACGTAGAGTGTAACGAGAGCTTAGAGATTTATATCCCGGAGGTAATCAAACTGTTTTATACATTTTCTATTATTGGTTAAACCAGTGGTTTATTCTATTTTCGTGTGTGCTACCGGTGTTACGTAGTTTTTGGTTATGCATCTCTGCGAAAGTTTCTTTTTTTATATTTTTTATTTACATTTCTTGTGTAAGAGAACATAAATTTACTATTTTTCATTCGAAGTCTGTTTATAACGAGTTTTGATCGGTGTTTTGCCAAAGAAAAAATATTAGTATATATTACTTTGATACGTTAGCTCTTAAGTGTTTAGTTTCTTATTAATATATTTTTTTGTTACAGTTACTTCAGGCTAGTTATAGTTTTTATACGTGGCCTTCTGCACCTGTACTTGCTTGGTTTCTTTGGGAACACAAAGAAGAACTTATCGGAAAAAGAGTTTTAGAACTTGGATCTGGTACAGCGCTTCCTGGGATTTTAGCTAGTAAATGTGGTGCTATAGTAACTTTAAGCGATTCTGCTAGTTTGCCTAGAAGTCTACAACATATAAGAAGAAGTTGTGAGCTAAATGGAATTTTGTCTCAAGTTCAAATTGTTGGTATAACATGGGGATTATTTCTATCTAGTTTATTTTCCATTGGACCATTAGACTTAATTCTTGGATCCGACTGTTTCTATGAGCCAGCAGTATTTGAAGACATAGTTGTTACAATTGCATTTTTACTAGAAAGGAACCCACATGCAAAATTTCTCTGTACCTATCAAGAAAGAAGCACAGATTGGTCCATAGAACATTTACTGAATAAATGGCATCTTACTTGCACCCATATATCGTTGGCTGGACTTGGTACAGATTCTGATGTAAATATATATGATTTAATGCAAGATCACACTATTCACTTATTAAGTATACAACGTGCGACTTAATAAGTTTGTCATGGCTGTACGATACTTACTTAATGTATCTAGAATTCCTTGGACTGTTTCTCCTTCCGAATTTAAATCTTACTTTTCAGTGTTTGGTAAAGTAAAGGAAGCAAGAATTATATTCGATCTACACGGTATTAGTACAGGCAATGGTACTGTTGAATATTACGATAAAAATGCAATGGAAACTGTACTTTTTAGAAAGCACATTTTAGAGAATGTGGAAATAAATGTGAAATCTTCATAATGAGTCTCGAGCAAACATTTAATAAAGCTGCAAGCTACTTGCAAACCTTAGCATCAGAATTAAATTCTACTGATCTTCTCAAATTCTATGCTTTGTATAAACAGGCAACAGTTGGAACTTGTGACATTCCACAGCCTAATTGGTACCAAATGAAAGCTAGGCAAAAATGGGAAGCTTGGAAAAATCTGAATGATATGAGCTGTGATGCTGCTATGATAACTTATATAGAAGAGTTGACAAAATTATCTCCTACTTGGGAGCAAGATGTAGAATCTGAACCACAGAAATGGGTTGCTGTTAGTCGTTTGCTGAATGCAGAAGAACAGATAAGCGACACAGATAAAACTTTTTTGGATTGGATAAAAGAAGGCCATGAGGAAAAGGTACAGGAAGTACTGGAAAAAGATCAAAGACTTATAAATCTGATGGATACAGATGGTTTGTTACCAATACATTGGGCTGCAGATCGTGGTCATTCAAGAATCATAGAACTCTTAATTAAAGAAGGAGCAAACGTGAATTCACAAGACTCAGATGGACAAACTCCATTACATTATGCAGCGTCCTGCGGTCATGTTGACGTTGTAAAATATTTACTTTCCATTGGTGCAGAATCTATAGAAGATAACGATGGTATGAAACCCAAAGACGTTGCTGATGTTAATACATTGTCATACTTACTCAGCATGGAATAGTAACTAGCTAGATTTATTCATAAGATCATGGTACTTTTTT